TTTGTATCTATAGCTAGGGACAAGAAAAACTATCATGTTTATTCACCCATAAATATATTTAAGGATATGTACTAAAATTGGTTCCTGTCAAAATAATTTAAATAAAATTCAAATAATTGCTGACGCATAACATAAGAAACAAATAACATACTGAGGGAAAAGGTAGACTTTTTCAACCAGGAGGAATATATAGGAATTGGTAGCAGGGCTGGAGGGAACATGAGCCACAAAAGGAAGAAACTCAATGATTCAAAATATTATTGCTTAGCTGATTCTAAACATTTTATATAAGTAGAATCATACAACATGTTTTTTTGTGTGTGTGAACAGCTTCTTTCATTTAGCATAATGCTTTCAAAACACATCCATGGGGGTCAGTGCTGTGGTGCAGGGGGCTAAGCCTCTGCCTACGGTGCTGATATTCCATTAGGGGTACAGGCTTTTGTCCCAGCTGCTTCTCTTCTGATCTAGCTCTTTGCTAATGGCCTGGGAAAGCAGTAGAATACACCCTAATCCAATTGCTTGGGCCCTTGCACCTGCATGGAAGACCCAGAAGAAGCTCCTGGCTCCTGGCTTTGTACTGGCCCAGCTCCTGCAATAGTGGCCATTTAAACTAGTGGATGGAAGACCTTTCTCTCTGTTTCTCCCTCTCTCTGTAACTCTGCCTCTCAAATAAATAAATAAAATCATTAAAAAATTCATGTTGTAGCATGTATAACTTCTTCATTCCTTTTTATGGCCACATAATGTTTCATTGAACAGATATATTTGTGATTTTCCATTCATCAGTTGATAGATTTTTATGTTATTTTTAATTTTTAACATGTTTCGTTGGATATGTTAAGTAATATGATTCTCATTTTGTGTTAGAATTTCAAAGCACATGACAATTGATACCCCTATAACATCTATGAAATTGCATAACAACCATATTTTATTTATTTATTTAAAAGATTTATTTTATTTTTTGAAAGAGTTTCAGAGAGTGATAGAGCCAGAGGTAGGTCTTCCATTTTCTGGTTCACTCCCCAGATGACTGCAATGGCCAGAGCAGAGCTGATCTGAGGCCAGGAGCCAGGAGCTTCTTCCAGGTCTCCCATGCAGATGCAGGGGCCCATGGACTTGGCCACCTCTTCTGCTTTCCCAGGCTATAGCAGAGTGCTGGATTGGAAGTGGAGCAGCCGAGCCTCAAACCAGCACCCATATGGGATGCCAGCACTGCAGGCCACGGCTTTAACCTGCTGTTCCACAGTACCAGCCCCACTACCATATTTTTAAAGCTGTTGAAGATGGAGAAAAACCTATTTTGATACTCAGCAATAAATCCTTACAAATCAGCAGTTACTGAGACTAAATTTACTGGCTTAAGTTGCCTCTAAAAAACAGAAAAATTATGATTTCTTAAGTACTTAATCTGTTACTGAAGAGATTTCATGTTTAGAATCTGTTCCAGTATAGAAAAAGTATAAAATAACTTGTGAAAAAGAATCATTAAAAGTATCAAGAATAGATGTATTATCCATATTATAAAAGGAAGCCCCACCTATCTCAGATCCAGAAAAATGGGTATTACCACTAGAAGAAGTTATATTCCTCTGGGATCCCATTTCCTCTCAACATATTGCCCAACTACCCAGAACCTACCCAGGAAACAATGGCTGATTCTATCAGTTCCTAGGAAAAGTCTTGACATACCCCTAACACTCTGGCTTGTTTCCCATTTCTACCTCTAAGTAGATTTTTGTTCACCAACTACAGTGAAAAACTATGGGAAGGAATATTTGTGTAAAAGTTTTTCTGTGGACATGTTTTCATTCATCTTGGTTAGCATTGCTTAAGAATGGAATTTATTGGGTCATATGTTAACTCATTTTGGAAAACTGCTTTCCAACTTGGCTGTGCCATTTTACATTCCCACTAGCAATATATGAGGGCTCCAACTACTGCACACCATTGTCAATGCTTGCTTTGTCTTTCTTTTATTAATTGTTCAAAGATTGTTGATCATTTGTATATAAGCTTTTGAAAACTTCAAAACATTTTAGATTTAAGTACAGTGATTTGGTGCTTTTATTGCTGTGATTTTTTAAAGAATATACTCCTTTTATAGGCCACTTATGAGGTGTATAATGTATAATTAATCTCTTCAGTTCTATGGGTTGTCATTTCATTTTCTTAATGGAGTTCTTTGAAGCATAGGTTTTAATTGCGATGAAGTCCATTTTGCTATTTTTTCTTTTGTCATTTGTGCTTTTGGTGTCAAAGCTAAACACACACACACACAGAGATTTATTCTTATGTTTTCTGCTAAAAAAGTTCTTTAGTACTAACCTTTAAATTTAGGAATTGGATCCACTTTGAGATATTGTTTGAGGTAGGAGCCAAATTTCATCTTTTTGCATGTGGATACAATGTTATTTTCCCATTGAATTATCTTGCAGGACAGCCAGCATTCAATTAACCATAAATGTAACAGTTTGTTTCTGCAATCCCATTCATTCATCTGTCTGTCCTTATGCTAGACCAGAATCTGATTACCACAGCTTTGTGATAAGCTTTGAAATTGGGACCACATTGTTAAGAACTACTTAAATTTGAATGAAATACAGTTTATTTTTAAATATTTATTTTCAATCCTGCAACAATGATGAATTGTTGGATCTAATCTTATGTGTGTGTGTGTGTATTCTTTAGCTTCCTATACAAAAACTAGTTTTCCATCTTCTTTTTCTCCCAATCTGAATGCATTTTTCTTGTTAAAATTCCCTGGCTAGAAGTTCTAGTACAATGTAAAATAGTAGTATTTGAGAGTAGATATCCTCATGTTTTTCCTGATCTTCCCGAAAAGCAGTCTTTCTCCACAAAAGATGATATTAGCTGTGTGGTTTTCATAAAGGCTTTTAATCAGGTTGAGCACTTTTCTGGGTACTTCTAGTTAGTTGAGTGATTTTATCATGAAAGGAGGCTGAATTTTATCATTTATTCTACATCTATAATAATCAGGTAACTTTGTCCTTGATTCAGCTAATTTGATATATTATATTAATGGATTTTCAGATGTCAAACCAAACTTATTCCTGACATGAATCCTATTTTGTCATAATATGTTTAAATTATTATTTTAATATTGCTGATTTGGTTTGATGGTATTTTATTGAAGACTTTCTCGTCTATATTTAATAAAGACTACCGGTTAGGAGTATATTTTGATGTTTTTGTCTAGCTTTGGTAAAAGGGCAACACTGCCTTATAGAGTAAGTGGGGAGTGTTCCCTCCTCAGGTATTCTTGGAAGTGTTTGTGATGTTTTGATGTTACTGTTCTTTAAACATTTGCTACAATTTCTCAGTGAATCTTTCTTGGCCTGGGCTGGTAGAAAGTTTGCTAATTCAATTTCTTTACTTGTTACACAATCTATTCCGATTTTTATTTCTTCTTCATTAAGTTTTGGAATTTGCATGATTTTAATTATTTAAATTGACTGAGACTTACTTAATAACCAATTTTATAACAGGACTATTTTAGAGAATATTCCATGAACCTTTCAGAAGTCTGTATTCTGCTGGTGTTTGAAGGATTTTTTTTATTTTTTTAACTTTTATTTAATGAATATAAATTTCCAAAGTACAGCTTATGGATTACAATGGCTCCCCCCCATAATTTCCCTCCCACCCACAACCCTCCCATCTCCCACTCCCTCTCCCCTTCCATTCACATCAAGATTCATTTTCAATTCTCTTATTCCTATATTTCTTTTTTTTGGTTCTCATTTTGGATTTATTGAACTTGAGGTACCATTTAGAAATCTACAAAGAAGAATTCAACAGAAAGTTGAAAGTATCCAGAGCTTGGAAAGATGCCCAAGCTAGAAAGAAACAGGAATGTAAAACAACATATGGCCAAATAAGTCATGGTGAATTAGGGGGTGGAATGAATGAGAAACTACATATAGCATTAGGATGGGTCATACAATGAAGGTCATTGAGGAGTCCATGAAAGAATCATAACACAGTTAGTTCTTGGTAGAAACTAATGAAGAAGAATTGCCAAGAGAAAATCATGGACAGTAGTTGCAAAAATGGCAAAAAGATTTTAAAATGGGACAAACATGTAGCATAGTAGATAAGATGCTAGTTAAGCTGCCCTAGTTCCACATCAGAGAGGTTTTGTTTGATTCACTATTCCGGCTCCTCATTACACCTTCCTGATCATGTAGACCATTGTAGTCTAGCAGAGTGTACCCCTAATTTGGGTGACTTGGGCCAGTATCCATCAAATTCTAGCTGCTCTGGGCATTTGGGGAGTGAAAGAGTAGATGAGAACTCTGTATATGCCTGTCTCTCTCACTTGGTCAATCTGTCTCTCTAGCTCTCAAATATGTAAAAAATTAAAAATACATTCAAGTACAAAGGGTAGAAAGTAGTCTTTAAATCTGACTAGAAATTAGTTATTGGTAAATTTCTTAAATGCTAAAGTGAGTCTATATTGAGTTGGTTAAAGAAAAAAAAGAAATGCAAATATTCTCTTGAAAATATAGCTTGGACAGTTGGCAGTATAACTTGCACATATGGAAATATATGGAGATTTATTTAAGGATCTGCAGTACAGCCTCCATGCATTCTCAGTTCTATCCATCAAACAAGCATTTCTCTAAATAATTATCGGCAATAATCTGGTGTGAGTTTTCAAACCACAGTATAATTATCAAAACTAAATAGAAGTAAAGTTAATGAAAATACAAAATGTTCTTTCTATATTTGAATGTATTCATTCATAGCACATTTATTTCAAATATGAACTTACTAAACCACACATTAATAAAAAAGTTAGAATTGTCCATGAGTTCTGCTGTATCCTATCTGCTTTCCAGGAAGATGGGCTGTCTGCAAAGAAAATATAGGGATCATCCTCCTTGTTTAGTTATGGATGGCTGCAGTGCAGGAAATGTAATCTTATGCTCCCTTGATTCACCAGGTCAGGTTCATGAGAAGGACTTTCTAGGCTGCCAAAAGACATTGCAAACTTTTAACAATAAAACAAAAAGAAAATACCAAAATGTGCAATACAGAAATGTCAGATAAATTTCAAAGGATTTCCAACTAGATTCACAGGTGACTTCTCATTAGAATCTCTATGGCCTATGAGAGAATGGAGAGACATAGTGTGAGTCTTAAGAGAAAAAAAATCCATCCACTGAGAATACTATACCCTGCAAAGTACTCATTTATGTTGAATGTGAAGTAAAGACCTATCAAACAAAAAGAAACTGAATTTGTCAACACTCACCCAGCCTTACAAAAGCTGTCAGGTGTTATGAGTTGTGATTTACAGCAAAAAGCTTTTCTGTAGTCATAACATTCATGAGGTTATTCTCCTGTGTGAATTCTCTGATGGATTTTGAGTTGTGATTTATAGCTGAAGGCTCTTCCACAGTCATTACATTCATAAGGCTTCTCCCCTGTGTGAATTCTCTGATGCATTATGAGATGTGACTTCTTGCCAAATGTTTTCCCACAATCATTACATTCATAAGGTTTCTCCTCTGTGTGAATTCTCTGATGGATTATAAGTTGTGACTTATAGCTGAAGGGATTTCCACAGTCATTACATTTATAAGGCCTGTCCCCTGTATGAATTCTTTGATGGGTTATGAGTTGTGACTTAGAGCCAAATGCTTTTCCACAGTCATTACATTCATAAGGTTTCTCACCTGTATGAATTCTCTGATGCATTATGAGATGTGACTTCTGGCCAAAGGCTTTCCCACAATTTTGGCATTCATAAGGTCTCTCCCCTGTGTGAATTCTCTGATGGATTAAAAGTTGTGACCTATAGGAAAGGCTTTTCCACAGTCATTACATTCATAAGGTCTCTCCTCTGTGTGAATTCTCTGGTGAATTTTGAGTTGTGACTTATAGCTGAAGGCTTTTCCACAGTCATTACATTGATAAGCTTTCTCCCCTGTGTGAATTCTCTGATGTCTTCTGAGGTCTGACATTTGGACAAAGGCTTTTCTACAGTCTTTACATTCATAAGGTCTCTCCCCTGTCTGAATTTTCTGATGGATTATGAGTTGTGACTTATAGCTGAAGGCTTTGCCACAGTTATTACATTCATAAGGTTTCTTTCCTGTGTGAATTCTCTGTTGCATCATGAAATGTGACTTCTTGCCAGAGGCTTTTCCATAGTCTTTACATTCATTAGGTTTGTCCTCTGTGTGAATTTCCTGATGTCTAATGACATCTAACTTCTGGTAGGTGGCTTTTCCACATTCATTACACACATGGGAGTTTTCCTATGTGGAAGTACTGTGAATGATGGTATGGCAGGACTTAAACCTGAAGGATTTTCCACGAGGCTTACATCCATAGGGTTTTTTCTGTATATGTTGTTTCTGATTTATTGCAAGATTTGATTTGTAAATAAGAGGTTCCACATATCCCATATCTTCATAGAGTTCCTCTCCTGTGTTGATTTGTTGATGCTTACTGAGGTTAGTATTTTTATGAAGAGTCTTTTCTATTTGAGTTGTCTTTCCAACAGTGACAGTTGACTTATTACAGGAATCTCCCATATGGACCATGCCAAATCTAAAGAATATCTTCTTCTTTTTGAAGTCTTTCCCTTGTGCACTATGTTCAAATGAAGGCTTCATAGTCTGAATCTTGTGATACTCACTAAGAGGCTCACAGCACTGGGCAGAGTTCTCAGGTACCTTAGCGGCATCAAATTTCTCTCCAGCTTACAGCTCATCATGCCCACAGTGGGGAAACACATTGTGACACACGTTGCATTCCTCAGGTTTCATTGATGAATAATTTCTTTTTTTGTTAATCAGCTTTGAAACATGACTTGAACTTAAATTAAGTCTTTTTATTGACATAACTCTTTTGGGAGTTGATGTCTTGTTATTTGTAATAACATTCTGCTTAAAAATGTTTTCTTGAATTTCCTGGTTGGTTCTAATAATGTCATCACTTTTCATGGCAACTGGAAGGTTCTGATTTAGGAATTCGCTCACCATCCATGGCTCTGCTCCTTGCTCCAACTTAAAGATCAAGTCGGGTTTGGTAATGCAGTGTCCCAAGAAGAGCAGGCTACTGTAGGTCTCCAGCATCTCATCCCTGTACAGGATTTTCTGAGCTTTGTTCATGTTCTGCCATTCCTCCCAGGTAAAGTAAACAGCCAGGTCTTCAAATGCTATCATCACCGTGGAATGTCCAGGGAGCACGTCCTCTTTCTTCCGGGCACATGAGGCGCAAAGCAGAGTGTGGGGCAGAGAAAGTCCCCAGCACATGGGACCCACAGGCAGCAAATGAAGAGGCGCAGCAGCAGTGGGTGGGAGGCTCTGGGTGTGTCTCTTATTCCTATATTTCAAAAGTGCTTCACATTATTCATATTTAATGTATTATTTCATGTTTATTTACATTGTATTGGTCCTCTTTGCAATAATAGGCTAAAAGATTCACATCAGATACTGTGCATTCATAATTTCATACTACATTCAAATATTTCCATTAATGGGTTAAAAGGGTTTTTTTTAGATTTACCCATTTGAAAGGCAGAAAGAAAGAATGAGAGAAAAAGAAAGAGCATGCTCCCCTCCCCTTGTTCACTCCTCAAATGTCTGCAGTGGCTGGGAGGCCAAAACCTGGAGCCAAGAACTCAATCCAGATCTCTCAGTGGGTGGCAGGAATTCATCCTCCAGAATCTGCATTAGCAGGAGGCTGGAATGAAGAGCTAGAGCTGGGAATTAAAGTGAGTTACTCCTATATGGGATACAGGTAAGTTTTTTTAAGATTTGTTTATTTATTTGAAAGGCAGAGTTATAGAAGGAGAGAGAATGGCCAGAGCTGGGCTGATCTGAATCCAGAAGCCAGGAACTTTTTCTGGGTCTCCCATGTGGGTGGGTGACCCATGGACTTGGGCTATCCTCCACTGCTTTCCTGGGCACATTATCATGTAGCTGGATGGAAGTGGAGCAGCTAGAACTCAAAATAATGCCCATATAGGAGGCTGGTGCTGCAGGTGGTGGCTTTACCTACTACACTGCAGCAGTGACCCTGGATACAGGCATTTTAACCAGCATCTTAACTGCCAAGGCAAATGCTCACTCTAGGAAGTTAGTTTTTGAAAGCTTTATGTATTGCAAATACCCTTAGCAAATTATTATATAGGTTGCATTTTCTTCCATCTAAGATAAAGCAATACAGGCTATTGTTATCAAAAAATTATTATTCAGTTTACTTGAATGGATTAGATTCAGGAAATAAGAAAGTTCAAGGTGCTATGATAAGTGCAAAAATTTGGAGAATTTCCATAGTCACAGTAGGTATGGGAGAAAGCGTGTGGATGGTGGCAGGCTGTCAGCAAAATCTTTCTAGTAGAGGTGATATGAATGTTACTTTGCAGTAGGACTAAAAGTCAATTAAGTAAGACCTGGGGTGTAAAAGCGGGAATCAGGAGAATTAGGTTTTCCTGGAAGAGCAAATGGCATGAAAAAATAAAACAGCATGGTCTGCTTTGAGCACTAAGTGTTGTGTTGTATTGATGCAATAGAAAATAGTGCAACTGCAATGTGCTTTAAGCTGCCTCTTACATATCACTTTTTTTTTTTTGACAGGCAGATTTAGACAGTGAGAGAGACAGAGACAGAGAGAAAGGTCTTCCTTTTTCCATTGGTTCACCCCCCCAAGTGGCCACTACGGCTGGTGCGTTGTGGCAAGCACACTGTGCTGATCTGAAGCCAGGAGCTAAGTGTTTCCTCCTGGTCTCCCATGCGGGTGCAGGGCCCAAGGACCTGGGCCATCCCCCACTGCACTTCCAGGCCACAGCAGAGAGCTGGACTGGAAGAGAAGCAACTGGGATAGAATCTGGCACCCCAACCAGAACTAGAACCTGGGGTGCCAGCACTGCAGGTGGAGGATTAGCCTAGTGAGCCATGGCACTGCACATATCACTATTAAAACTACTAGCAGGGTTGGTATTATGGCACAGCAGTGTAAGCCTTTGCCTGCAGTGCCAGCATCCCATGTGAGTGCCGGTCCCTGTCCTGGCTGTTCCTCTTCACATGCAGTTCTCTGGCTTGGCCTGGGAAAGCAGGAGAAGATGGCCCAAGTGCATGGGCCCCTTCACCCACATTGGAGAACTGGAAGAACATCCTGGCTCCTGGCTTTGAACTGCCTCAGCTCTAGACATTGCAGCCATTTAGGGGGTGAACCAGGGTTGGAAGACCATTCTCTCTGTCTCTGTCTCTCTCTCTGTAACTCTACTTCTCAAATAAATAAATAATTTTTTGAAAATAAATAAATAAAATCATTAAAAAATACCAGCATGGCTGATATCATATATAAGGTAATGAGTAGCAAAATATAAAAGTCAACATATTGTTTTACATTTCATGGAATAATTTCAGTTACCCTTAGATTCTGAAAAGCAATGTAAATTGAAAACTTGAACATTCTATTAACAGCCATAGCCCTAACAAGCATTTTACTACTGAGAATTAATGCAATTTACTTTGTAGTTTTATATGCTTAAGTTGAAATGTTCATTTGCAATCACTGAAAAGTTTAGAACACTGACAAACCTATACCATTCTGCACTGTTTTCTTAGAATGACTGCACATGCTTCTACAAGTTTGTGTCATACAATAATGCTTTTTTTAATGCCACTTAATGAAAAGTGAATATAAGAAAACTCTTAGCTTACTTCTAATTTCACTTTTTAAAAAACCACCAGAATATATGTAAAATTCCTATTACATGTTTATAAAGAGTATTCATAGATTGTTACCTCAGTTCCTTATTTTTTCTTCTATAGTTTTACCTACTTCTCTGTGGAAGACAGACTTTCAATTATCTATCACAATGTTTTTATTTATGTGTCCTGTATTCCACAATATTTCAAAAATTCTCTTTCTCACCCACCTTAAGAATAAGATAGTTCATATGAAGAAAAGTAGCTCATGTTGGTAATCCCTTTATGCAGACTTAATTCTTTTTGCTCATTCAAATAATCTTGGGCAAAGGTTTATGAACTAGAGTCACACTGAGAAAAGGTCCTCTCAGGCCTGTGAATATCCACTGCCATGGCTGTACTGGCTCTCCCCATCTGTTGGTTTCAATCCAATACATTCAATATGGCACTGATTCAGAGAGTAGGAGTGAATACTGTGTATTAGGATAGTAGCTCCATCATTGGCCACTTTTATAATTTGAATACAGTATATCATGACTACTGGGGACTAAGAAAATACAATCAAATAAGAATACATAAATACAATTAGTTTTATTGAGATGTTAAATCCATTATTTTACTACTCTCCCTGCTTTTCACTTCAATGTTCCATTTCTAAAGTGCCAAAGTATAAACACTATATTTCTTAATTTTTAGAATTATCTAGAACAAATGGTTGCTTTTTTAACTTTTATTTAATAAATATAAATTTCCAAAGTACAGCTTATGGATTACAGTGGCTTCCCCCCATAACTTCTCTCCCATCCGCAACGCTTTCATCTCCTGCTCCCTCTCTCATTCCATTTACATCAAGATTCATTTTCGCCGGTGCCGTGGCTCAATAGGCTAATCCTCCACCTTGCGGCGCCGGCACACCGGGTTCTAGTCCCGGTCGGGGGGCCGGATTCTGTCCCGGTTGCCCCTCTTCCAGGCCAGCTCTCTGCTATGGCCAGGGAGTGCAGTGGAGGATGGCCCAGGTGCTTGGGCCCTGCACCCCATGGGAGACCAGGAAAAAGCACCTGGATCCTGGCTCCTGCCATCGGATCAGCGCGGTGCGCCGGCTGCAGCGGCGGCCATTGGAGGGTGAACCAACGGCAAAGGAAGACCTTTCTCTCTCTGTCTCTCTCTCTCACTGTCCACTCTGCCTATCAAAAAAAAAAAAAAATAAAAATAAATAAATAAATAAAAAATAAATAAATAAAAAAGATTCATTTTCAATTCTCTTTATATACAGAAGACCAATTTAGCATATATTAAGTCAAGCTTTCAAAAGTTTGCACCCACACGGAAACACAAAGTGTAAAACACTGTTTGAGTATTAGTTATAGCATTCACCCAAATTGTACAACACATTAAGGACAGAGATCCTACATGAGGAGTAAGTGCACAGTAACTCCTTTTGTTGACTTAACAATTTGACAGTCTTGTTTATGGTGTCAGTAATCACCCTAGGCTCTTGTCATGAGATTCCAAGGCTATGGAAGCCTTTTGAGTTTGCTGACTCTGATCTTATTTAGACAAGGCCATAGTCAAACTGGAAGTTCTCTCCTCCCTTCAGAGAAACGTTCCTCCTCCTTTGCTAACCTGTCCTTTCCACTGGGATCTCACTTGCACAGATCTTTCATTTAGGTTTGGGTTGTTTTTGTTTGTTTGTTTGTTTGTTTGTTTTTTGCCAGAGTGACTTGGCTCTCCATACCTAAAATACTCTCATGGGCTCTTCAGCCAGATCCAAATGCCTTAAGGGCTGATTCTGAGGCCAGAGTGCTGTTTAGGACATCAGTCACTCTATGAGTCTGCTGTGTATCTCACTTCCCATGTTGGATCATTCTATCCCTTTTTGATTCTATCAGCTAGTATTAGCAGACACTAGTCTTGTTTGTGTGATCCCTTTGACTCTTAGTCCTATCCTTATGATCAATTGTGAACAGAAATTGATCACTTGGACTAGTGAGATGGCATTGGTACATGCCACCTTGATGGGATTGAATTGGAATCCCCTGGCACATTTCTAACTCTACCGTTTGGGGCAAGTCAGCTTAAGCATGTCCCAAATTGTACATCTCCTCCCTCTCTTATTCCCACTCTTATATTTAACAGGATCACTTTTCAGTTAAATTTAAACAGCTAAGAATAATTGTGTGTTAATTACAGAGATCAACCAATAGATTTAAGTAGAACATAAAAATACTAAAAGGGATAAATTATAAGTTGTTCCTCGACAGTCAGGACAAGGGCTGATCAAGTCACTGTTTCTCAAAGTGTCCATTTCACTTCAACAGGCTTCCTTTTAGGTACTCAGTTAGTTGTCACCAATAAGGGAGAACATATGATATTTCTCCCTTTGAGACTGGCTTATTTCACTCAGCATGATGTTTTCCAGATTCCTCCATTTTGTTGCAAATGACAAGATTTCATCGTTTTTACTGCTGGATAGTATTCTATAGAATGCGTGTCCCATAATTTCGATTTTTTTAATTAAGCATTTATTTATTAACTTTTTTTTGACAGGCAGAGTGGACAGTGAGAGAGAGAGACAGAGAGAAAGGTCTTCCTTTGCCATTGGTTCACCCTCCAATGGCCGCCGCGGCCAGCGCGCTGCGGCCGGCGCACGACGCTGATCCGATGGCAGGAGCCAGGGCCAGGTGCTTTTCCTGGTCTCCGATGGGGTGCAGGGCCCAAGCACCTGGGCCATCCTCCACTGCACTCCCTGGCCACAGCAGAGAGCTGGCCTGGAAGAGGGGCAACCGGGACAGAATCTGGCGCCCCAACCAGGACTAGAACCCGGTGTGCCGGCACCACTAGGTGGAGGATTAGCCTAGTGAGCTGCGGCGCTGGCTTATTTATTAACTTTTATTTAATGAATATAAATTTCCAAAGTACAGCTTATGGATTACAATGGCTTCTCCCACCCAGTGACTTCACTCCCACCCGCAACCCTCCCCTTTCCTGCTCTCTCTCCCCTTCCATTCATATCAAGATTCATTTTCAATTCTCTTTATATACAGAACATCAGTTTAGTATACATTAAGTAGAGATTTCAACGGTTTGCACCCACATAGAAACACAAAGTGAAAAATACTGTTTGAGTACTGGTT